AATAATTAATTAGATTGTTTGTAAAATGGAAACTCAATAAACAGTAGTTTTGTAAAGTTTTATTGTTTGTTTATTAATTTACTATTTTTTTTTTTGTTTGTTATTTTTAATAACTAATTTTTGTTATTTTTTAAGTTACTTAATACAGTAGATAGAAAAGAATAGTATAGGCAATTTTGTTTTGCTAAATTATTGTTTTTATTATTATTATCTTTATGCTTCTATCTTATATTTATTAAATTATATTACTTTCATATATATGTCTACCTTTTAAAGACACCATGAGGTCTTCATATTTTTAGAAAAGCAGACAGACAAACATTTTACGTTATATATGTTATTAATATGATTTTAATGTTCATAAGTGGTTACTAAATACTTAATAGATGATTTAATTTGATTAATTACTTTATGAATCCATTTTAAAATCACTCAAAAATTTGTGTTTGGGTTCAAGTATCATTAGCAACAAAGTTACTCAGAAGTAAATGTTCTTAATTGAATACATTTATTTTAATAAAAAGTAATTACGAATGTAAGTTTATGTTGTGAATACAATTTTTACATGAAATATTATTGGCTTACAAATAAATATAAGAATTTTTAAAAAAAAATGTAATAAAATGATTTGCATAGAATGGAAAAAAGCTATGTAAAATACTTGAAACATTTCAATAACACTTAATAATGAATTTTAAATATAAACGTTTTTTCTAAAACAAAATTATCATTATAGTTTTGTTAGTCTTATGCACTTTAAGTATATATACTTTTACACATCATCACGCCCGCAAACTTAAGCCCCATAACTTAGGACAAAATATTTGGAATGTAATAGTTTGAAAAAGACAAATAGAAGATGTCGCGGTTTGTAAAGTACTTTGGAAATATTTTAGACCAAGTAACGTACTCATTTGACTCTGTGTGACTTTAACTCTTCCCGTAGTTATTATAACCACTTTGATGAAGGGAACTCAAGTGAAGGCGACTCAAGTTGATTGTGGATATAAAAGATAAATTACAGGAATTAAAGGTCATACCTCAATCAATCAATGAAAAGTATATAAGGTTTTTATTTTTGCAAGGATTCGAAAGAATAAAAGTGTTCTAATTTATGCCGTTGTATTGTTGTATTGGTTTTCATTAAATCATATAAAGACATGCCAATCACTTATTCATTTGTCGTAGTTCTACAGAGATATCGTGTCTGTAAATATTGCCGGAACCGTTCCATTTTTCTATTCAATATTTTTCATTCCACATAATATCTAGTAACATTGCGATTCAATGTCAACATGCCGTCTATATATGTATGTGTTATGACTTCATATAAAATCCTATTGGTACCGCAAGTTCTCCAAGCGATTTTTTTTTACTTCTGCAGCGTTATATTGACTTTAAATCATTAAACAAATTGCCAGTTTCATTTTGAATCGCCTCTCTTTAAGGTAACATATCTGCGGTAAGCCAAAACGCCTTTTACCCTTACAACCCCATATTAATGACTTATAATATGAGGGATTTTTTTCTGATATGCACGTCTTCTATAGAAGTAGTTTATAATGTAATGTTCTTTAACAGTAAAAGGGGTAAGAATAGACGTACAAAAATAGAAAAATTACTAACAATCATAATAATGTCTAATTGCTGGACGGTCTAACGGTGTACCTATGCCGTGAGTTTTCAATTGTTACAAGCTCTTTGACCTGAAATATAGGGATACCATTTTTCAAGGTATTTTTTAATCTACTTTTGACGAATTCTGATTTAAAAATGGATATTTGAAAATGTTGGTGAGTTTTTAATTTATGATATACCATAACGTAATTCTAATTATTCTTTATATTTTCTGATGAGCTCTAAAGAATAGATATACTATATATTGAAAGTAATATATCCAAATTGATTAATTGATTTTATTTATTATAATGTTGAGAAACATATAAATGTTAACAACTAGAAGTGTATAGAAGTAATAGTGTAATTCGTATTTGGTCTTATGAAGTATTTGTATTTATTGTGTGAGGCACGTTCGTTTGCATTTTGTGCTCTCCCTTTAACTTTTGCTCACCAAGTCTCCGAATAATTGCACTGCGAATAATAACCACAAATCCAGATAATCGAAGACTTAGGATTTACAAAAATCCGATTTTGTTTTTAACTTCGGAGCCTTCATTGAAAATCGATTAATCGGATAACTTTGGTATTTAAAATATCCGAAACTATTTAAGCTATTTAACGACAGTTTAGTGTTATTGCCTAGGATGTATAGCTATTAAGTATGAAAGTGATGTGGAATGTAGTCTTATGGTTTGTGACCCATAAGATCCATCCGGTCAAAGTAGTGACTGCATTTATTTTCATTTTGTGTGGAATTCATTACAGCTTTGTGAAACTCATAGTCTTTACCACAATATTCTCAAATTTTTTTTTCCAAAATTTAAGGAAAAAACAATAGTGATATACAGACAGACTTACCAACACCGCGTTATCAAATCTCAGAATGGTTACATGCTCTTTGGGGAGGTATGCAGATCTGAGGTCAATTATTGCTTAGTCTGATGAAGTCATAAACAATAATCCAGTCAAGCCGTAAAGAGGGGTTTTAAAAATACCTCGAGTTAAGAAAGAGTAAAAGTGCTCAAGTGCTTCAATTTAATAATAATAAAAGTTTTTTAAGCACAGTATATTAATATCTAAAATATCATTTAAAAACACCGCCTGAAATATAACGAAATTCCCGACATCATTTTAAATGATTTTAATAATATCAATGTCGTTTTAATACATACATTTTCTTTTTTAAGCTTTCTTACATGTAATAATCTTCTGCGATATCATCTGTCACTTCCTGAAAGGTTTGCATGAAAGGACTTACACATATATTCATAGATTAAAAATGTCTTTTTATTTCTGCAAATAACTTCTTGATTACTGTAGTCCTGTAGTTAACATATTTTTTAATTAGTATACCAAAAATTAATATATGGCATTATACACTGTAAAATTAATCTAATTAATTAAGAGTTATGAACTAAAATGATAATTGGTTTCGATAAAAAATTTTCGCTTCCTACGAAATTTTAAAAGCGACATCTATGGTGTTCAATTTTCATAGAGAGGTAAATTTCTAACGTCTATATATATAAAATATATATGGTATGTGGTATTTTTTATATTAATATCAATAATAATTCTAATATAATTATTACATTAAAAAAGTGATAAATATTTTAATGAATAAATCATTTTAAATATCTATTAAATTGAAATTTTTACTCACAGATTTAGGAAACAGAATGAATTGTTGACTGTTTGTTGATGAATATAAAATAATAGTTAATAATAATAATAAAATTATTATTAAACTTTTTATTTCGTTTTGAAGTGTGTAATTATGTGTTTAGAGAAATACTCATACTTAAAATTTGCATAAATAATAATAATTAATAAAATCTTAGCTATTGTTTTTGCCCAGTGCTCCAAATGAATCGTTTGCTAGATTTTAAGACTCTAACGACTGAACTAATCGACTGATTATGATGTTGATGACTATGATGAAGGTGATGATGACCATGATGATGATGATGATGTGGAGTGCATGCATTGTGCATAGGTTGAGTGTGATCAATCCAATTCGTTTTATGTTCGCAATTTACTTATTGAACTTGACTAATTGCACCGAAGGGAGAAAAAAACTTAAAAAAAGATGCAGTAATTTTCGTATATAAATGCGACGATAGTTCTGAGAAGAACATTAGTAATTTGAACGACTGCATTCAAGTAACTTACTGAATACGTTTCTAGCAGATTTAATTAGGTTTAAATAAATTTTTAGTAATACGTATTTATTAGAATGCGTACTAGCATTGCAATTTTATTGCTTGCTATCGTTGCGGTAGTATCGGCAGGAACCTTGGGTAATGGTTGCTGTGGCGGCGGCGGTGGCGGTGGATATGGTGGCGGCGGCGGTGGTGGAGGAGGCAAGGGTCCTTGGCAAAGCAGTGGTGGTGGTGGTGGATTCGGTAGCAGTGGCGGTGGAGGTGGACTAGGTGGTTATGGAGGCGGAGGCAATGGCGGTGGTAAAAATGGCAAATTTAGTAATGGAGGTGGTGGTGGTGGTTATGGCAATGGTGGACGTGGAGGAGGCGGTGGCGGATGGCAACCAAGTGGAGGCGGTGGTGGTGGTGGCGGTTATGGAGGTGGAAAAGGAGGCGGCGGCGGCAGAAACGGAGGTTTTGGCGGCGGTGGCAAAGGCGGCGGTGGTGGTCATGGAGGTGGTGGTGGTCATGGAGGCGGTGGTGGTGGATATGGTGGTGGATTAGGCGGTGGATTCGGTGGAGGTGGAGGTGGCAGAGGAAAAGGTGGCGGTGGCGGTCGCGGCGGTGGTGGCTATGGCGGTGGTGGTCATGGCGGTGGTGGTAATGGTGGTAAAGGAAAAGGCGGCGGTGGTTATTGGTGAATCAATAACGTCTAAAAAGCCATACAAACGATACATTTGCAATAATAAAGTGCCAATTCACTGCGTTAAGCTAACAACTCAAATTAAGTTTAGATTTTTTGTGTTCATTTGCATCTTTTAATAAAGTCCAGAATTACATAAAAACCTACAGATTTGTGTATTTATATTTAGAAATATAGTGAATTTAATAATAACTTTACAAAGTGCACTCTTAATGGAAAAATATTATTTTCTAATATTTCCTGATCGATCAATTATTTTTTCAAATTTTTTTTTGTTGTTTTTCCATTGAGCTGATTTTGCAAAATTAAGTCAACTGGCACATTTAATGATAACGTCCATTCGGATTAATATTTCAAATTTAATCTGTTTAATATTTTACGTTTACGTTTGCCTACGGCGCAATTGCAGTGCAAACAAGATTGCCGTAAATTTAAATATTTACAAAAATAAATTAAGAATCGCAAGAGATTGTTAAACTTTAACCCAAACGTAATATTACGCGATACTTTCCATTCGGTGCAGCTATAAACTATAATAAATGAAAAAATTGTCTACTGGCGACTGCGCTGAAGCGGATCGTGTTCAGTAAGTTTTAGATGTTGCTCTGGTATAATAAAAATTGACAAATTATAAGTAAAATTTGTTTAAATTTTCTGTTTAATTTAGACAAACTAAACGAAATGATTTGTAGATTCAAACACTACTTACAATACAAATGGAGACCAAAATATAAGCTAAAATATGATGATATTAATCTGCAGTAAAGCCACTTTAGTATATTGGAATACGATAAAATTCTTGGAAGTATAATGATCTCATTATTTTGCCAATATACTTAAAAAGCGCGTAAGAGAATTTATATGTCAAACGACATTATTGGAATAGCATAGCACCTATGCATAACACAGTGCAAATAATCTGCCAAAAAAGTATTTTCTAGTACATATATCCCCCACATTAACACAATTTTGACTACGCCACTTCGTAATTCTCGTAATTTTGTAGTAGTCCAAAAAGACGAATCATATTGAATCATATTTTAGAAGTATTTCTAAATACTTTTAAGCTTAGTTTATTTTGTCGTTGTTATCAATCTAATAATTTAACAATATCTAGTAATGTAAAGATTTAAAATATTAATGAACTTATAAATAAATTTCAAAAATTTATTATTATTATTTATTACGTATTATTTATAAAAATATGAAGCTTTTCTTATAAATTTGAATCTCTGCTGATGTACCTAACACACCAATAATAGATTTTGTAAGCGAACTTGAGTGCACGTTTTGTTTTTTGCTTTAGGCGGTCAATTAAAATCTTAGCTAATGTAGTGCATCCATTATGCAAAATTAGCATTTTTTGTATATCAAACTGAACCTGTACTTGATCTTAGATTATTTTACTAAATTTTCTAAATGATTTTAATATTACTTGCACTTACATTCGGGCATAACTGATTTCCATCAGATCAGATTATTATAATAACGTTATTACAATAAGTAACTTTGTACTAAGATTTCAACAGAGATCATAAGCGGTAGTAGAAGAAAATAAATAAATTTAAGCTATACTGAAACTACAACATCATTTACACAGATTTTTTTGAAAAATCAAAGAGACTTCAATACGAAGAAATGTGTTCTCATATAGATACAACCACTGGCTACTGACGAAAAGATTAAAACGCCCCAAGAATGGATAGAGATGTAGAGATGCAAAACTAAGAAAAAAGCAGACTATCAAACACCTTCTCTAATTCGGTCTAGTGCATAAAACCCAATGAATGAAAATATTGTAAATATTGATGTGTTGTGTACAGATATTTTAATATATGTTTCCACTTTCAGTAGATATTTTATGTGCGAAAAAATCACATACTGAGAGCTTAGGATGAATTAACACAACTTTTGCCAGCTTATTAACAACCAACGCTTGTATATGAAATGCTCTCTTCAAAGAATCCGAAGCTACTTCATAGTCATTACAGGCTTCTATGTTTCTCCACTTCCTGGATACATTAGATATCCAAATATTATTATCAAATAAAACTATATTTAGATTTATTTACTAAAATCTGTCGCTTATTAAGATTTCAGTCTATCAGTCTATCAGTCTACAGCAATAATCTACCTTGATATTATGCGACAGTACTATATGTCTCTTGTTACAACTTATCATATTTTAAATTTTTAATACTACATCATATTAATAATTCATGATCCGCAGAGATCACTACAACAGAGAGCAATAAAGTGCAATCATCTTAAATTTTGTAATTGTGTTATGCACTTGTATTGACTTATTACAGGTTTTAAATGCCAACCGTGAAAGGTAGGGTCTCACAGTTGTGTTTTATATGGGCCATTGCTTTGTCTGTTATGGTTTAATACGCAATTAAAATTTGGCTTATTGCACTCAACTGTTGATCTTATATTCCTGATGCCCCCCTTCAACAAAGTAAGTACATTAAATTTATATGTAATAACCTATTTTTCTCTTGGTCACAGAGAGAGAGAGAGAGGAAGATTGGTGTTGAAATATCTATGCTTTAAGGAAATGGAAATTTCAAAAGCTATCTTCAACCCATAATCGATTTAAGTATATATCGATATTGTACAACTTGTAAACCAAAGAAATTCGGCTAAAATTGACTGACAGCGATAACAGTTAGCTATATTAATTAAGCTATATGTAAACCTAGTGCATATTTTAAAAATTTACTGTTAATCAAGAGAAAAAGGACCATGACTGAAAGCGAAACTACAAGCTTATATCTTTGAATGACAGACAATAAGGTGACGTTCTTACTGAAATTTTTATAACATTATCAACATTTAAATCCACATATGACAGATAAACTGCTTTTTACAATGAGTAGAGAAGAGGTGACGTGCCTTATACTGTCTGCAAGATTAATTATATTACTTGAAAAAGTTGAAACAAAATCAAATTGATATAATATATGTAAAACGATATTATGTTTAGTGCCATAATAAAATAGTTGATCACGATTTGTATGTGTGGATTTCTCTTTATAAAATCACGTGCAAATTTCGTCCACTACTTTTTAAACGAATCGTACATCCGATTATAAGAATTCCCAACCAGTCCGCAAACTATACATTTTAATATTTTTCTATATTTAAATAGAACTACGACAACGATTGGCTTGACTGTAACTTGGTTTGACTCAATCCTAGATACCCAGCTGATCGAAAGATAGTTAAATATTCTCTTTTATAAATCTTTAATGTAATCATCTTATGTGACAAATTATCAGTCAAAGGAATTCACTTCTTATTTATCGTTTTTTTTTAAGTTTCGGCTGTTGTCTTTGACTTATAAAAAATTTCGTTTTAAGTGACTTCAATCCATTAAAATGAAGTAGGATTTATAATCTTCCATATATTAAGAAAAAGTTCTTACCATATAACATGATTTAAACTCGATTTTATAAATTCATTTTTTTATGAAGTGCATGAAAATATGAATGAAAATGAAATAAATTTTATGATATGTCATTATATGATGTAGAAAAAGTCTTGTGATATACTGCTACATAATGTGGCAATGAATGTGTTCATATAAATTCTTATCTATGCTCTACTTTAAATAGAAATACTAATAAACATACATATGATATCTATATATATTATATGGAATTTTATATATGATAGGTGCATATACAAAATTACACAATCCATTTATTTTGAATATATAAAATCAAATATTATTAATTAATCAATTAGTTAGTAATTTTTTTTAATTAATATTATTTCACGTAAATCGCAACGAATATCGTTATCTGTTATTGAAATATAAATAAATTTTAAAAAATGAAAAAAATATTTTTATGTAGCCTGCCTTACTAACCAAAATAACCTGATGAAGTATCTTAAGGCTTTAGTTCATTATTCATTGCGGCATTTAAAATGTCAATTTTGTTTTTCCATTCACTACAAATACATTATTTTTTTATATGATATATATACTATTTATTGTCGTGTAACAAATCGCATTAAACGCTTATTTCAAGGGATCTCATTATCATTATTGACACTGTCAATTCATTTCTCCTCAATAAAGCTTTATGTGTACACTCTTGACTTATTTCCAAAAAAAATAATGCACCAACTAATTTATTTCAATTACTTTAGATACACATTTTTATTAAATTTTACACATAAAAAATACTTTTTATAAACAAACGAGAAGGTAGCTTCAGGTACAATGATTATTTAGAATTCAATTCTTAATAAATGATTTTATCACATCCACTATTAAAGTCACCTCATGCAGCAATGCTGGTATTATCATTACCAACCACCGCCACCACCACTCCAACCACCTTTACCACCGCCGCCACCACTCCAACCGCCTTTACCGCCGCCGCCACCATATGACCAGCCACCTCCACCACCACCACCACCGCTTTTCCAGCCACTGCTTATTCCTTTAGACCAACCGCCACTGCCACCACCAAGTGACCAACCGCCACCACCACCACCACCACCTAATTTCCAACCGCCACCGCCGCCGCTACCATAACTGGATTTACTTGGCCAACCACCACCACCGCCGCCGCCACCAGACCAGCCACCTCCAAGTCCTTTCGAAAGACTGCTATACGATGAAGCACCTGACCAGCCACCGCCACCACCACTGCCGTAGGATTTACTTGGCCAAGCAGAGATGCCACCACCACCACCTGACCAACCACCACCAGAGCTACCACCACCTAACCAACCGCCACTGCCACCGCCACCTGACCAGCCGCCACCACCACTACCACCATAAGAAGATTTTCCTGGCCAAGCAGATACACCACCTCCAGACCAACCACCACCTGAGCCGCCACTCCAACCGCCACTACCGCCGCCTCCGCCAAGGAAACCTGCCATAGCAACTGCACTCGTTCCGAGCAATAACAAAACAATTGCGCGCTTCATCTTCGTTACACCACTGAGCTTATGCCGCAACTAATATCCCAACAAAACTTGTATCCAGTATTTATACTCGACAGTATGCCTTTGCCAATGACGAAGATTACTCAAAGACAAGGTATGATTACATAGTATTTACCTACGACTATGTAAGCCGCTACACCCCGCGCTTTAATTTAAATTCTATTCTAGCAACAATAAAATCACCAACAGCACTGACAATAATAGTAACAACAAAGCCATACGGCTGCATTGTGCTCATAAGTAACCGCAGCAGTTAATTATGGTTCAGTCAGTCGACTTCCATTTGGCCGTCTTGGCTTGCTTCGCTCAGTTGCCTGACTTAGATGAGTTGCCTGACTCTCAACGGTATTCGCTTTGCGAACTTTCAATTTCAAGTAATTTTTAATTTTTGTTAAAATTAAAATACTTTTGACTTTAGTTTTTTGTAACCTTTTTTGTTTATTATTTTTGCTATTTTTTTCTCTTTTTTTTTTGTGCTGTAAGTACCGTTTGCGATTGCCTGCAAAGTGTGCAGTCAAACGAATTCTAATCTAGCAAACAAGTGAATATTTACGTCAATTTATTTTCGAGGGTTTTTAGTTCATTTAATTGTTTATATGATCCACTGCTCTCCCTAAACAGTCTTCAGGCCTTCAGCACGTAATGTGATGTGTTCATTAATGTATGTATTGCGCTTCACGCATACCGGCCGGCGATTCGATTCGTTCTTCTTCAGTAAAGTGCCAACATATAGCGGCAATGGTTGCATGTTGCAGTTGGCCACCTTCAGTGGCCGTCGTCATGGCTAAAGAACTCCACTTCTAATGCTAATTTATTGCACCAACACTTAAACGCGCTTTCTGGTGCAGCGTTTGAATTTATTGTTGTGTAGTGTGTTAAGTGCCTCAAGCTCGGAACGAAACTCAATCAAGCCCCAATAGGAACCCATAGAAAGACAACAGCTAATGCCGCCTCAGAATTGACTTAAGCCCAAACAATTTAAGCTGCAATTTGTATTTATCATTGGCAACATATGTCGGCTTGCATGCCACGCTGGAGTTAAGATTCATAAACGACACTAATTCGAATTCTATTTTCAATAAATATCTTAAGTTGGCATTAATTATCGTTCGAGGACGTCATCATTACTCTGAAGTGAAGCGAAGTGCCGAAGTAGCTTTCAACTCGATTTCGCAATGAAAAAGTGATGAGCAAATAAATGAAATAAAACAAAAACATGACATTAAACTAATTGTTTTCCGTTTATTTGTTTGTTTTAATAAATTAATTACAATTTTAATGTTAAGCTTAAATTTTAGATGTTTAGATATTTTCTAACAAACTTGCAATTTAATCTGCATGCAAACTGTGATACGAGTAGTTGCCAAGAGATAATCGCGTATGTGGTAATGCTCATGTAAAACTAATGAAATTCAAATCTCCTAATAAATTATTTACAAATGTATTTGAATTGATTTATTCGTTAATTGCATGTTAATTAAATTTAAATAAATTTTAGTTACCAAAACTAATTACATTTGATGTAAACAGTTTTTGCTGATCAAATCCATGGTTCACGCACTTTCAGCGCGGAAGTGGAATCGAATGGATAATTAGTTTCATTGTTTCAAATTAGATACTTTTGTTAGGTATTGTAAGCATTTTAAAAGAACTTGTAATTTGAATAATAATATATATGAAGTGTGATTAAAAACCATAATGAATAATAATTTTTGTTTGTGTAAAGCATTAACACCATTTATAATAATACCTATTTATGATATAAACAAATTATTACTATGCGTTCTCACCTCGACAGATTTTACAAATTATATCATTTATATCTTCTTTGTGAAACAAGGCCATTTGCAGTTCTTCCTAGTCTATTAAAAAGTGTTAAATAAACGAGTTTCAGTTTAATGGGTGTTTGAATGAAACTCATTGCTTCAATGTAAAAGTCAGTAAAACAAGTCATCTTTGCTCTTTTCAAACTATGATAATTCTAAAAATATTAAAGTCATCCATTAAACAACAAAAAACCAGGGTAATATAAAAAACATTAATGCAACTAAACTTTTTTGTGTCATATTCATAAATATTAACAAATCAATTAAAGTTTTTTCTCACAACTCGAGCTTATTCGCCATTGAAAAGCTAAACTGAATGATAATCATAATGCTAAACCACATTTGTGATAGAGCCACAGCTCATTTTACTAATATTCTTAACAGTTCCACACAAACTATCTGGAGAATGACCATATCGTCCATAAATTGGTTGATATTAGCTGCATCAGTACTTCCTATACTATCCAAATAACTCGTGAGTTCCATTTTGTCATCACACATCCAAGAAGGGTATTCTAAATATTAAAACTAACCTCGAAAGTTGAAAAAAAAGAGATTAGTTTTGGAAGATGTTTGGTATAACATACAGGTTTGTTGATGTCTATTCCATAGTGCAATATTTCATCTTGCCAAACTTTAGGTACTACATACACAAAATATTCAATTGTTTCTTTTTTCTTTTATTCCTTACAGCGCCTTTCTTACAGACATATGACACTATATGTCATATAAATTTCAACGGACTCCTCAAATCATTGTTTATTACGATTTTTATATTAATACAAAGTGTTTTTTTTTTCTTTAAGAAAGGTTAAAATAATTTATCTATTTATTGATCGATATTTATAACAGATGCTACTAGTCTTCTGCGTATATTTGTAATAATCCTAAATGCAAGGCTTTATGCTTAAAGTTTTATTTCGGGCATACCTTTCAATAGATAAGTGTTTTTCAGTGTATAGCTTATTACTCTTGATCACTTGCTTTATCCGGTCTGCTAAACTTCTATGCTTATATTTAATAGACAAAATTTAACTTACTTGAGATTGTTTGAATTACTTGAATCTCAAGTAAGTTAACTAGTCAAACGAAACTAGTGGTAACATACCTACAATTCAAACTTCTTAAGTCTTGGGTTTTTAATTAGGATTTTTTAGTGTGGCTGACTAAATGCTACATTTAGAACATTTAGCTGCATTGGTCTGCATCTATCCCAGGTGATTCTAGCCCATTACACACATTTATAGTAGATATGGCTTTAACATTTTCTGCTTAAAATTCAATTCCTAAAACGACTTTAAATAATCTAAACTGTATGTTTCCAACTTGATTATTTATTTTATGTTATACTTTGATCTATTGATCAATATCTATACCAGATGCTTCATAATTTCAATACTTATGCTTAAAGCAAAATTTCTAAAACGCCTTTAAAGCTTTTAACCTGTAAGTTTCTAATTTAGTTTAATTGATCTGGCTTTCCATAAATATTACTTATATCTTTTGATCGGTATCTTTACCGTATGCTGCTGTTCGTTTATAACTCTAACTCTAGCAGCCATAATTCAAACGTTTATTGGCTATCGCAGATATACTTGAACTTTCATTCCTGAGACATTTTCAAACTTTCCAAATTGTGGATTTCGAATAAGTTAGGTACTTGTAACTTGTTAGGGATTATAATTTATATTTTGAGAAATGTTCCATAGACCACTTGTTAACCATTGATATCAACGATAAAATGTTTTCTTTTTTGTTGTATTAAAATCTCAATATCTTTAGTTTTACTCTTTATTTTATATAGAATAAACGTATTATTTTCTAGTTACTACTACTGTTATAATTGCTACAAATTTGAATATTAGATACACAAATTTTTCGATATGTACGAAAGTTAAACATAATAGTGAATCTGTTCTTGGAGATACATCTAGGCCCTTTGATCGATTGCATTGTCGTATAAAACTCTCCGGATTCAAAACCATATGTAAGCTCCAAATAAGCTAAAAAAAGCTTTCTTAAAGAGAAAGGCGGTCCAGAGACTATTGATACCACATTTATAAAACTCAAGATATAGTTCACCCCAATTTTTAACGGACAAAGTATAGTCCCAAAAACTGGTAGCTAAAAATATTTTCAAGTATTTATATTTTGTATTTCAAATAGCTATGGGATATTATTTCAAAATAATTATTCAAGTTTCAATTCTGCTGTCTTTTCTTTGTTAATTTTGACTACATTAATTTAGATTTTTTTTATAGTACTTTATATAGTATCAGTGTGCGTCTTTTTCTATATTAATATTAATTTTTAATAATTCATAAAAATTTGACCCTACTTGTGAAAAAATTTGGATTGCAAGCCTATCTCGATCACTGTAAATGCCTCTTTACTTGACTCTGATGATTAAAAAAAATGGGAATCAGTTAAGGCGCCGTACTTAATATATTTTTTAACCTTATTTTAATTTTGTTCCGTCTACATCTGAATACTAAACTTATCTGGAAATATTGCATAACTAAATTAAAGCAACTCACCCAAAAACAAGAAAATTTTACTTCCAACTAAACTTAGAAAACAAAATTTAATTGTACACAGTAACGCTAGAATTGTTCATATTAAGTATTAAGCTACTCCATTCATCAAGACGTTAATTTAAGGTGTTATTAATGAAGCAAAATATATATACTTAATTCATTACTTACTCGACCTTTACAGACGCGAGTCGTTTTTTGCTGCGTCCAGTAGCCTCCGCCAGCCAGCCCGATGTGTGGCTTACTTTCACCAGTTGATAGTATCGAGTAAATACAGTTATTCATTCAATGCCATATTTGCAGAGTAATTAACTATATAATAAAAAGTAAAATCTATAATAAAAATAAAAAATATAGTCTAATGTTGAGCCTTTTCCGAATTAGTACATCTGGGCACTGTTACTCTTTGATAGCTGGGGGGTTTCTGCAGGGTTCCACTCATCTCACTGACTAAATTGTGTATTCCTCATAAGTTTCGTGATATTTCAATGACTGATCTAAGATCTGTCTACCTCCACGTATGGTTAATTATACTTAGAATATTTATATAGTTTACCGAACTATATCATATATAAAAAGTGCTTAACTAAATATATTTATAAGCTAGTTAGTTGTTAACCAA